TACTACTACTACTGCTACTACTATTCCTACTACTGCTACTACTACTCCTGCTACTACTAGTACTACGACTACTACTACTACTACTACTGCTACTACTACTACTACTACTACTACTACGTCTTCTTCTAACTCCGCTGCTGCTGCTGCTGCTGCTGCTGCTGCTACTACTACTACTACTACTACTACTACTACTACTACAGTTACGACGACGACGACGACCACTACTTCTACTACAACTTCAGAGTTATTCGCCAACTGTTCACAAGCAGGCAAAGAGTACGACAGCAAATAATTCTGAACTCCAGGCTTTGAAACCTTGAGTGTCAACTTAAACCAGGACCTCTAGACATGTCTTTGCCGAATCCTTCCTGCAAGAGAAATTCTAAATCACGCAGTAAGCTCCAAGGTTGTCCAGTCTACTCCAAGTAGAGATATTCCATACTTTTTGTTTATGTTTAGTTAAATTCTTACCTGCTAAATAAGGTGACATAGGCTTTGGGGCAAGCTGCTGACTACTGAGCTTCGCGGTCCCTTCTGCTCCATACTCCTCGATCGCCACGGAGATTCCTTCAGGCCTTGGGAGAGAGCCAAGGGATCCTAAACCCTAAACCCTAAACCCCTAAACCCTAAACCCTAAACCCTAAACTCTTCTGTGTCATGGTGTCCTGCATTGTACTATACCGTTTCCATGTTGAGATCTTGTACTATGCCAATGCGATACTAAGCTATATTGCGCCGTATGATGTAAGCGTCATGTGAAGTTGTTTTATGTTGTGTCATTATGTGGCATCTTCTGTTATACTGTGCGGTATCATGTTGTACTATGCTCTATTACGTTTTATGTTGTAGCACTTCTTTTTTGATGTGCTGTATTACGTATTTAAACATGCTAGCACATGCAATTTTGCGTTGTATTCTAATACTCGATGTTATGTCATGTATTATGGTATGCTATGGTAAACTTAGGTACCAGTACGTAACTTATCTTCATCATTACACTATAATCTATCTGTCTCTCGAGGAAGTTCAGAACCAGGCAGACCTGCATCACGATGTCTTTCCCCTCTGTACACAGGAACAAGTCGAGAAGGCCAAGTCCAAAGATTGAAGTCTCGTGTGGACAGTCAAGGTGCACCACACGCATGATGACGCCTTCGGCAACCTGAAGCGAGGAATCTGCAGCTCGAAGGGAAAGCAGGCATCAAGAACATGTCGGGGCCTGCTACAGTATCGCGCGACTCAGGAAGTAGGGATGGCAGGGATGCGTTGATGGGAGCAGCTCCTATGGAAGCTCACCATATATGGTGAAACCATCGTTCTATCCGTCAATAAACCTGCACACGAAAGCCTCAGTAGAAACAAACATCGCTGCACACCCATTTCCAACATGAACGAATAGCCCTTGCATCCTGGCCTTCCCCTGAACTTCAAATCCCAAGTTTTCTGTCTGCTGCACAGTCGTGATGAACCCCAAGTTCCAAGAGCTCTGCTCAGCTGAGCAGCGGTTGGGCCGCGGTCTTGAAAGAGCCTCATCAGAACAACCCTGGCCATCCACTTTCCTTCATTCCGATACGGTTCGGGGGCTGTCGTCAACGGGCCCGGGAATTCCTCGGGTCAGCTGGGCCTGTGGGATTGGGCGAGGATTGGCCCACATATTGCTGGAACCTGAGTCAGCCCCCAACGCTGCGATGATTGTCACCAAACCCTCATGATACATCACCACCGTCACCAATACAACATCGCAACCATCATCAACATTCGTTATCCGGGAGGGAGGGCCCCAGTGGTCTTGCTTCATAACTGTCATATTCTCACGAAGCGCCATCTTCTTCAACACTGATTATCACGATTCGGTGTCAATGTCATCATTCCTCGTTGCTGTTTTAGTCATCATCATCATCATCGCCACCATCCATGTACCATTATCGTCGTCATGTTCGGGTTATCATCACGGTCATCACATGACCTTCGCCGCCTGCATGCCCATCGTCACCATCGCTATTGTTTCACTTGTAGCAGTGCAGGTGCATGACCAAAACCAGGCAAAGCGCACTCAGATGCAGATAAACACCCAGGAGAGTTCCACTCTGGATAGCAACAAGAGAACAGCCGACAAACTAGTAACTAGCGCAACCGGCAGGTCTCACACAGCTCTGGACACATCCCTCATTACTCACTGCTCTCTGACCAACAACCTACACGGCATCCTACAACATGCTTCGGGCCGTCGAGCATGGCAAGTAGCTTCTTTTGCAGCTAGGCCACTGGTACTGATGCAGCTTCACAGAGCTCCTGTCCGCATACTGGGCATTCCTGGCGCAAGGAATGCCCAAGCGGGGTGGGCAACACGGTTAAAAGATGGGGAACCAGACATCACTGACTGCTCAATGCCATTCATCCTGAAATTTGCTCATTTGGCAAGGAACCCGATGCCAGCTATGTCCGAAGCGAAGCAAGTTGCACATGCTACAAATACAGCTCCAAGAAACCGGAACCCTGAAGCTTGAGGCTTGAGCCCATTGGCCTGTGCTTGATGTTCATGTGCTCGCAAGCATCTTTGATCTCCTCGCGCTTGGGGCTGAGACTTCTTTAGGCTTTCAGCCGCTGAGGAGGCTTCGAATCACCGCGCCTTGCGCAAGCGCATGATGCCACAGTTCACCAAGAAGCCCACTCAATACGCACTGTTGGCCGGCCAACCACCGCCATGAGAAGTGGCCACCCAAGCAAGACGTGAGGCTTGGGCCCTGTTTCCTGTTGTTGGGTTCGGAAGATCCTGCTTCTGCAAGGCTGACGCTGATTCCCAGCGCGTCCTTGACGCCTTGGAGCTGATATTGCACGCAAACGAAATCGTGGGTCCCATCAGAGACACTGCCGGCCGTTCGACGTGTTAGTTTTCGCTGCATGCATTTGAGGTATAGCAAGGGCGCGAACCCGACGAGGTTAATTACGCTGCATTAGAATGGCACTGCGTCACATAGCAATCCAAACCCAACACAATGCTCCAAACCGTGTAAGCATGGCAGAGCACTCCTGGGGATTTCGGAGCACTGTCGGCACTTCTTCGAAGCCTGGCATGGCCGTTTTGTTCAGCACAATTGACAAAACCGAGAGGATAAGTAAGTGTACAGAACTGCATTGCTTAATCACAAGTACCCCAGCACCCCGCGAAGAACAAAGGACCGGCGAGGCGTCCCTCATGGCGGCCTCGAAATGGTGTATTTTTTATTGCTTCTAAACTTGTCAACTCGTCAACCTCGAAATCACCACGATGACTTTGTACGTGCCGGGTCGAAGGGCCGAAGGGAGGGAGAAGGGCTCTCCAAATCTCTGCAGGAGTGGACAAATCCCATCTTCACAGAGCCCAAGACTGAGCCCATCCTCATTCACCGAAAGCTTGAACACCCCGTCTTGGAAGCTTGGAACAGAGCCTTGCGACGCAGCCAGCAGCCGATGCACGAGCTGGGAGGCAAGGCCGGGATGCTCAATTTCTTGCTTTGTTTGTCGGGAAACGGTACAGAGAGTTATGGGAACACTGAGGCCTTGCGGTTTGATGGCTGCAGATGTGTTGTAGTATCAACGGTATGGCAAGGGTGACGGTGTTTATGTATGATGATGACGATGACGTGACGATGACGATGATGATGATGACGATGGTGATGACGATGACGACGACGGTGACGGTGATGGTGAAGGTGACGATGCTGTCAATAACAGCGAAATTCTTGTTGCTGCTGGCAATGATGATGTCGGTAATGAATGCGGGGTAAAAAATAGTGATGTTGCTGCTAATTAAGTCCTGTTTGGTGCCAACAATTTATTGCCATCACATTTTCCTTTAGTCGTCATTTATCATCAGCAACGCCACAATGATTGAGGTCATCACGGCCATCCGCATCATCGTCATAATAACTGCAGGGGAGAGAGGTAAGGATATTGGAACACGGTGTCACAGGGCTTCAACAATAACCCTCCTGCTGTCCATCATCATCATCATCATCATCACCGGCTTCCATGTTGAGGCCAAGTTCAACAAAAAACTGAAGAAAAAGGTGTATTATAACACGGAGGCGCGAACTTGCGGAGCGCATCACACACGAAGTGCAAGCCCCAGAAGCACACGTCGAGAAACAGTGAAAGCTGCGTCGACTGGACGTAGTCACATTTTTCAAATCATGTGTGCGCTGCTCGAGGAAACAGCCTGAAGGACACGATTTCTTTGTTCCCTACTACTACTAGTACTACTACTACTACTACTACTACTGCTACTACTACTACTACTACTACTACTATTTCTGTTGCTGTGGTGCTGTTTCTGACAGCCGGCACAGTAACAAGAGTCCTTTGCCTTCCGCACCAGTAGATGGCCCCAACCCCTTTTTTCGTAACGAGTCGGAACAGAACTCAAGCCATGATCAGTGCATCGAAGCCGCAACATCCGCATATCGTCGGATCGGGGAAGTGAAGTGCGTATAGTGGTCCATCGCCTTGCTTGGTTCATCCAAGCTGAACCCAAGTGTTGAGAAATGGCGCTACCCTGTCATTGTGTCTCCATGTGTTCGATTCTGTGCTTGCAGCATACCTTTGCTAGTAATCATAGCTTTAGGCAGCTGAGCATGGCCTGCTGGATACTATAGCACAAAAATATCGCAGAAAAAAATGGCATTACCTCAAAACGTTTCAGGTACTGGTGTCAGATGATAAAAAGCATGCACAATGATTAAGGTGATGACCATGATGCTGACGATGATGCTGGAAAAATGGTGATGAGGAGGAAGCGAAAGATTATGTGCATGACGGCTTGGATGATTGCAGCTTTGCAGGCAGAGGGTGTTCCGAGCCTTCGACCCTCCGGCCTCGGATCTTATGCAGTTCTGCTGGCAGGTCTTGCTTTGGGCTCGCAAAATGAACCCGACGCATGGGACCGGGTTGACTCGTGGTATGGTGGGAACAGTAGCATTAAGTCACATTTCATGTTCGTCGCGATCACCGTTCAGATATCGAATGATGTTCGTCATTATGATGATGCTCTTCGTGCTGCTGATGATGATAACCATCATCATCACGCGTCGAGCTTGTGACGTTGGCCACGGGATGCATGTGATTCTTTCACAAGTGGTGATAAAGATCGATGATGGTGATGGCACCAACAGTGCAGACACTGACACCAAATCCAACCACCAACATGACTGAAAAGCTCTTGCTGCCCAAGCTGCCAAACCGAAATGCGCCCACTCACCCTTCTGGAGCTCTTTATCTCCAGTGCAGAAATACCTGCGGTGCACTGCTAAACAGCAAGGCGAGCTCCGCTTCGTCAGGTCCCCAGATGCCTCGCCGGCTCCATGCAGCGCGTAGAAAGAATGCGCACCAGCCTTCAACTGAGACGGCTCTGCGAATGCTTGGTCCAGGGACAGAAGCTTCTGAGGGAGTTACGACGGAAAAGGGGCCCTAAAGGCGTGTTTAGGGACCGAAGATGGGAACTCGAACGGTCCTGTTGAAGAACGGGTCGTCTGGCTTGTCCACAGTGTCCAGAGACTTCTGGAGCTCCTCGTGATGAGTCAAGCAGGGCTCGATGCTACGCAATGAGTTGAAGCTACGAGTAGTTTCCAACATCTGAGGATGGGACTGAGCAGAGGCACTCAATCTTCAGCCCCGAAGATGTTGAAAATGACTTCCAGAGACGAGCCACGAGATCGGACAATTAGCAGATGTTGTCGACGCAGCGTTCGTACGTGGTGAGTTTAGCAGCTCCGCGAAGCTCTCATTGCAAGACTGGAAACAAACCCTAACAGACTCGCAGGACTGCAAAAGCCCCACTCAAAGCCTAAACCCTAAACCCTAGATCCCACCAAGACTCCCTAAAGCCCAAGCCCTAAATCCCATCAAGAGCCTCTAAGCCCTAAGCCCTAAATCCCACCAAGAGCCCCTAAACCCGAAACCCTAAAACCTAAGCCTAAACACTAAACCAAGAGTCCCTAACCAATAAACCCTAAAACCTAAAACCTAAGCCCTAAGCCCTACACCAATTGTCCCTAAACCCTGAACCCTAAATCCTAAAACCCAAGCCCTAAACCCTAAACCAATAGTCCCTAAACCCTAAACCCTAAATCCTAAAACCTACGCCGTAAGCCCTAAACCCCTAAACCCCTAAACCCCTAAACCCTA